GGGGGGGGGGAGGCAAAACCAGTTGTGTGACTGAAGAAGATTCGACGACTACAAGTCCGAGGCACTTTCCGGTAACTAGTAAGGTTAGCAGGACAAGTTTCATAAAAGAAAATCAGATGAACTTTTTGGCCCTGTTCACTCCAATTGCGAATAAAATAATTCTTAAAGCTAGTAGAGGAGATTAGAATTCAAGAAAAAAACTTACTCGGACTTGTTTATATCCACATAAGCATTGGCATGTTCCAAATCTGCAGTCAGCAAAGCTTGGGCACTGTTTCCTGGATAAACATCGATGGCCAAGTTGAGCTTTAGGTAGGCAACGATCTGTGGAGGCGATCTCTTCAAGTTGATTACAAGTCTTCTCACATGTTGGAAACCGGTCATCGTTGTACTATAAAATTTTTATTTACAAATACATCTACTAGCTAATACTTTTTAATAATACACAATAAAGTTAATTCGACTGACTGGATGATAGCCAAGTTTACATTGGCAGGTACCCAGGGTGCATGACATCGAAATACCACCTTCACACTGAAAATTTCAACCGGTAAGTTTGTAAGTAATCAAGTAAGATTCTTGATTAACAATTTCCTAGGAGTTTTATTGATTTTATTGACCTGTTGATCAATTTGACATGGATCATCTCGGTGAGCTATTGATAGGCATTGACCGTTGATATACAGTGGAGTCGGATCTCGGCATGGCCGAGGGCAGCACAACGACGATTTCCATCTGAAACCCATTTTTCAAGGCGACTTTCGGTATTATTAAATTCCATTTCATATTATCGGACTCTGACATCATGGCTGATTTCTAAAATCAATTTTTCAATACAAACAATTACCCGCCCTGGCTCACTGATCGAATAGCAAAAGTGGGTGAGCGGTCGACACTTGGACTCTGGCGGTGCGCCGGCGTCACATGATTGGCTGAAAATGGTCAATGGCGAATCAGAGAAAGTCCACGACCTAGCCCGAAGTTTGAAAAACGACGAACCTCAAATCGGGCTCTCCATAGGGACAACGCAGTCGGCAGCAATGCCCCACATATGGACTTCCGTAGGTCACACAACGGTAACCAAGTGGGCAACTGTCAGTGTTTGCTGCATTTTCCAACATATCGACATCGTTGACAAACAATCGACGACACGTCTGTCGTGGATGCATTCCATCGGGGCATACTGAATATTGTTACAGAGCAAATTGACACCTCGAAGGATTTTTTGTTTTTTTCTATCAGTTGAATATAGTCACCCTGATAGGGGCACCACTCGTCTCTAACATTAGATGCTATAGGGTCAAGATGGGGGAGGGGTAGCCGTCTCTGCTGGCCGCGCTGCATCTTACACGAAATGAATCAGGGCCATCTGAGGCTCATTCTTCTTGATCCCAGGTTGTCATCTCACGCACTCCGATGCTACTATTTTCCTTGAGCAGCTTACTCAAAAATTCAAACTCCTAAGCTATAAAGCGCCTAGTGCTAGAGAGGAGGAATGCTCCCGACCCTCCCCCCAAGTACAACTCCACCTATAAGTTCATTAGGTACAGTGTCAGCTGCTGACAACACAAACACTCCATAGCTCCTGCGCATGGTCCAGGGATAAAGTGAAATACTCATTCAAAAGCTTATTAAGTCAAGTGCAAGAGTGCATTTCACACAACGACGGGTGGTAAAAACGATGGGAAATGAAAGAAATAGAAAAATACAAAAAAGAAAAAGGAACTGAATTTGTTCTCCAGTATTTTGAAGCAATCTAAAGCCTTCCCGGGAAGGCGGCTTTTCGGAACTTGGATGGGGTGACGGAAAAAGTAATTAAAAGGACTAGATTTCGCGTTTCGAGGGTAAGCATTAATGTGATTATCCTCGAAACATCATTTTTTTACCCTAAAAATGAATTGACGGCTGTCATAGTAACCAGAAAAAAATCGTCGAAATAAGCAGAGGAGAACCAAGCGCCCTTAGACGATTAATTGATCGATCTATTTATTGGGTAAAAGCTCATTAGTCCTTGTGGGGTCGTGATGGGAAAAAAAGAAAGGCATGATCTGTAAAAGCTCAAGAACCGATTCCTACCAGCATAGCAGAAGCCTCTCATCATATCTCTTGTTGTACCAGGAGCACATTGACAGGTGCCCGCAACACATGCATTGAATGGATCGACACACTGGCTATCCTTCTCGCATGCTTGGCCATAGTGAGCCACTCGTGTACATTCCACACCATAGAGCTGTTGACCAACAGGACATGCTGAAATAACTCTATCACCTCTCAAAGATTTTGGAAGCAGTGGGTGCGCGCCGCATGGGTCGAACTGGTTGTAAAGCTTGGTGAGCCTCAGCGCGCTCTCATTGGTCAGGTTGTCACGGCTCCAATCAGAAGTACGCTGAGGCACAACAGCTCTGCCTCCCGTTCGTAATGCGCTCACGCACCCGAAGCATTCGAGAAATCATGGAAAATGATGTGCAAGAATGATAAAAACGCAGAAAATTTATTATGTGGGACGAAAAGAAGAAAATAAGAAAATGGGAAATAAAGTGTTGACACAAAACTGCACAAATCGCAGATGCGGTGCTTTTAGAGGTCGAAACGAGCGCAACTCACGCACTACGCATTCCCCTTCCACAATACTTCCACCCCAACATTCGCATCTTCCATCACGACACAGCAAAGGCGGCTTGCAATCTCGTTGGCAGGTGTCTCCGATTTTTGCCGGTGCTGAAAGGGGTCATCACGTACAATCTTGCTGCCAATATGAAAAAAACTGACAAAAAAATCAAGAAAAGTAATTTAATCACTAAATAGAAATCAAATTCAGGTGAAACAGCTTTTACATGGCAACTGATCAAACAGACCAGAGCATATCGGAGCCTCTGATTTAGAGGTAGCCACTGGTAAAAGATGTATTGCTTATGGTTCAGAAAACCCGGACGGCATCCCGCCCAGCGAGACAACTAACCACGAATGGCGGCGCGCTGCGTGTGGATCTGCCCTCCTTTATCCCCGTAGCGCCTTTGAACATAATAGCATAGCCTAGACTGCACTGTAGGGTACGATAAGCAAGGCTCTGCAAATTCCTGCCGCTACAAGCTGATTACTGACTGTGATCAGATGTTTGGATCAATTTTTTTATATTTCGTACGCACCCATATCCAAGCAATTACTCTCTTCAAAACTCCATTTTTTTTTCTTTCCAAAAAAGTCTGTGAAATCTCCAGCTCTAATCACTTTGGAAGCTTTTTAAAGCCTTGGGCTCAGGATAGAAAATATAGTCGTTTTGCGTTGATCGATTCCATTTTGGGGTCCTCCCCGCGATTGGGCTCCACTCGGAAACGTGAAGGAACTTTGAATGCGTATTTGGTCCATACAGTGACTTGCGGAAGCCACCCCATGTGCAAGTCAATGCTTTTTTTCTTACAGACAAGTCTGTTCCAAATGAGCGATACCGGAGGGATGGATTGCTTGATTAGCCAGAGCGGATATCGATCCAGGATTCGAACCGCCTACCATGGGTGTGTGATAGTGCGTCATTTCCCTGTACACCACCTCCGATTGATGAAGAAGTCAATCAAGTGCAGTGAACTGACGGTGTACACAAATCTTTGAAACAAGATGGAACATTAGAATCGATTCACCAGTGAAAGCGCACCGAAAAAAGGAGAGCGCTTAACGTAGGTGAAATTGGATTGCGTCAGGCGACCTCATTCCGCAAACCATGGTAGAATCAAGGGGGATACTTTGCCTGTACCATGAATTACTGCGGCTTTTCATCTTGTTCCAATATGCCTAGAAAGTTCTGGCCACAAACAAGTGGGAGATAAGAGACTCGGTTGGCCTAGGCAGACGAGGGAGTTGATCCCGGGACTATAAGCCTGGTGACAAGAGCACTTGTCAGTATTCCACTTTGCAGGGAGGAGGGAAAAANAAAAATTAGGTGAATACATTTAAGTGCTTCTGCTTCGTAGGATTATGGCGACGGATATGTTCTAAGCTCATGAATTCTGTCAGAATATAAATTCTTCTTCGATTATCCTCTTTATGAAAGTAATGACGATCGAAACAGACTTATTAAAAATACCAATGAATAAACAAGAGAAAAATAATGTCTTTGTAGTACGGGACGGACTTACCAAGTCGACAGATCGTAGTTCTGTCATCAATGTCGAACTCTTCAAAATTAGTCGGACAAGTGCATCGGCCATTCCGACAAACGGAATTCATTCCATAACATTCCTCGTCGAACAGGCATTTATTTCCAATAAGTTTCTCTGGAACATTGCTATGTTTCATATTTCGTTAGAGAGGAATGTAATTCAGAAATTGGAACAAAATCTCTTTTACAACTTTAAATGGGCTGAGAAGAGTTTAGCGTGCCTTCGAATAAGAGAGATAGGGAAGAGAGGGTAAGGGGAGCGGGGAGATGATGGTATAGGTATGGGATAAGCCACTGAAGGGAAAGGATAGATGGAGAGCGAGGAAGCCGTATTCTGAAGTCGTATTTCAAGGTTGGGAACGGACCGTCAAGGAGCCATATCCTTCTCAAGAGGTCTTAGACTGCACTTATTACGCTCTCATTCGAATTCGATGTAGGTAGGAGCGACTTCGTGACGGAACCTACTGGGTGAGCTACCACGATATTAACAAAAGCCAGTTGTAATAGGGTACATGGCCCCAATTAGAGCCCTAGAGCACATTGATGGATAATGTGGCGGTTATTCACGTGAAGAAGGCAACTGAATGACTCAGCATGATCGTAACCTTGCCGGTTCTAGGAGAACGTGTTGCCCGCGTTTCGCTCTGGAATCCTTCTACAAAAAAGACTATCTGTGAAGATTACTACTATATAGAATTTAGTTAACTGGATCTACTGTTGATTGAGAAACATGGTCCCAAGAACATATTCCTCTCGGGATCATCCTACTTGGGAAGAAAATGGTACTGAAGCCGCTAGACTTTACGGATGAAAAGAACGAAAGGTTTTACTTCTTGAACAGTTATTAGAGACATGAAATACAAAACCATAAACATTGCAGATGGAACCGGTACTAATAACTTTTTAATCTCTACTGGTAGAGAGGAGCAACTGGAATTTAGTGAGTTCACTCCGTCTCAGCCTGGTTGGTAACCTTCGTCTTCTAAATGAAAAGGTCAGAGAGGCTGAGAACGAATTCTTGACCGAATCAAACTTTTAAGTAAGCAATCGACAAATAGGAAGTGCAGTGAATATCGCGAGTGGCTGCTCCTGTTACCTTTTTGAGCCTTTAACCTGCAGGAGTAGGGACTTCAGCTGAGAGCTGGTACCTAAGGTAGCTTTCGACCAAGGAGGAACTAAATCAGTTACCCGCTTAGGCGTGCCGGCTACTTGAGTAGAGGAAATCACTTGTGACGTATATTACCCATTCATAGGAGGAAGTGAGCAACGAGAACTCACGGGTGCATGGCACATCGAATGCGTGGGCGATTCCGATCGATATGAAGATCGATAGCCATGACGACATGTTCGCTACCGCCGCCGGTTAAGTGGGACGCGAGCGATGATGGTGGTTGGTGGTCGTGGATGAGATCTCCTCCCAGATACGGGGGTCTCGATGCGAATCCCCACCCTAAATCGGTCACCAAACCCTAATCATTACATAGTATCGCTTTCAGCAGTATCATATTAGTTTCACTGGTTATTATTCCACAGTAAGGACTACTATCAACAACTATTCACGAGATCGCAACTTTTTATCGTTATCATTGTAACTTTACGAAACCGCCACTAAGAAGTGAAAGGATTCGACCTTCTTCTAATGGGATTGCGCGCTACAAATGATCACTAAAAAGATATTTTCTCAACTTCATTGCGAGAGGGCTCACCAGTCTTGGCTGGAATTCAGTTTTCTGGCTGAAGAAGACGTTAATCGAGAGTTGAGCTTATTTGTAGGCTTCACGTCAGAATATAAGTCCAACAGCCTTTCGAGAAATCCGCTCGGCCAGCCGTGTAGATGAGCCTGTGATGAGATGAGTTGTAATTCGAACTTTTTCAGTCTTTGCTCTAGAACATGTTTCCTGTTACACACTCAAAAGGAATCGAACAAAAAGTATCAAGCCGGTGCTAGGAGGCTAACTTTAGCGATCAGAGATCGGCGATTCAAAAAAAATGATATCACTACATACTGCGTTAGTTCTTCTCAGTCTATCTCACCTTCGACATGAAAAATCTCAGCTTACAAACTAGTTTTGGCTTTGCTGATTCTTTACAGCTCCGTTTAAACAACTCAGTATCACCTTTTTCGGTAGGTCAGGATAGTTAGCAACAATCGGAAGACACTTCAATATGATTTTCGAAGCAACGGTACGACAATAGAAAAAAGATTCTACAGACACCGCTTCACCTGTTTGAGAGGTGTCGAATCACTAAAAGACTTCATATCTACACCTTTGACTTTTTCTAAACTGGGAATGGTTTGTAGGAAGTTGTAAGAACAGTCAAGTGGTCGTTTCCAGATGGGGAAGAATTCCTAAATTGACATCTATTTGACACCTCTTGAAAGGAATTCGACGAATCGGACGTCGTACGCCTGCTTATTTATGCAAAACGAGGATAGCTGACGGTGGACTAGGACAAATATTTCTTGGTACGAAATCTCCGATGATTTTGAAAACCTGTTTCTGAGGGTATCTTTGTTTCAGAAAAGCTCAGCTTGTTCGAGTAGAAGCCTCCAAGTTCTTCATTTATGAAAGCTAACTGTTGGCAGAAGGCTCATTTTAGAAGGGTTCAATGTACTTCCAACTAATTACCAAAGTTTCTTGATTGTAACCAAAGGTATAGCTTTGGTCACTTATGTCTACACATACCCCACCAATCCGTTGCTAGGCCCGATCTTGAAAATGAGTATAGATTGTATATCACTTAATTAGCACAGACGGCGCCTAGGCCATGTAGGCCTCAGACCGTTGAAGCTTTAGTGTAACCAGAGAGATGTAAGAGACCATATCAAACCTCTTCCCTCATCAGCCAAGGGCATCATAAAGGATAACAAGATGGGCGTTGATCAATCCCGTTTGAGGGATGCTGTCCGGCTTGAGTAGCTACTAGGAGTTCTATTTTACCATACCATCTACTCCTTGAGCCCCACAAAAGTCTTATAGAAGCCCTGAAACATATATAGCTAGTCCCTGCCTTAACACCCAAATAACAAAATGATAAAGTCGTTGGGCGTTAATAAATCTCGCCGTAGGGATGCGCCCCACATTCGACTTCCATTCAGACTCGTGGCGTAATGAATACGTATGTGGCCTATACAATGACGATGTACAAGCCAGTGTTTTTATACTCCTAGACGAGCCTAGTACCAATTGACCGACCCCGAAGGGATGGAACGTTTGGTTGGCCTAGGTGGATAGCGATGCGGGAATCGAACCCATGACCATACGTGGGTGATAGTGCGTCACTTGCACCCTCTCCGCCCCAATGCATTATGGCAGCTCATAAGAACTATTTATTATCAAAAGACAGTAAACCCTATAGAAGCTTCAGACGGTTACTGGTACGTGTAACTTATCGTTCATAAAAAGTAAACTGTTCCCACTTCATAATCTACTATGTTGTATATACCAGTTCCCTGCACAAGATCATACTTCTTCCTTGGATTTGCTGGAGTCACTTGTCGACTTCTTCTTTACAGTTGTAATAAACTACTCCCATTACTTTGTAATATGAACCAGTATGACAGCAGTTACACTACAATGTGCCGAGGGACCTCCCAGAAATCAATCAATGTCTGAGGACGCCCACCAGATGTGAATAAAGAGAAGCCCTACAGCCTACTTGTTACCCTGTGAGGGGAGAATTTTCGTCAGAAACATCTTTGGTTCATTTATTACACTCCAAATAATTAATTAATACACAAAACAAAAAACAACACCAGTGAAAGTAGAGAGGCCAACAGCAGAATAAAATTAGGCGAAAAAAACGAGAGACAAAAAGATATGACCTGTTTGCGGGAAAATATTATTGATCAGATTCAAGCAAGGCACTTTAACCAGTACCATGTGCAGTAGTGTCACAAGTAGTCTTAAGCTTATGGTCACGGCTGCAACTAATCTCAGTTGGGCTCCATGTACGGTGACGGGATCGTTTGACCGAAGTTTACAGCTCAGCTGGATCGTGTTTTTGCAGCTGCTCACCGTAATCGGTAGCTTGTGAGCCGACAAACGTGTCATAGTGAGCGATGATCTCCTCCATTGACAGTTTGCCGTCCTGAAAAAGGAAAAAAAATCAGACAGTGTCATATACAAAAAGGTGGTGTTCATAAGCTGCACATTCAATCAATCCCACTGCGTGATAGGCTGACCAATCATAGGCTGCGCCCTGCGCGACCTATGATTGGTCACGGATAACAGCCCACCAATCAGAAACGCCCACTGTGGGACCAACTCCTAAACTAGCTCTCACCTTGTTGTCATCAGCGATTCCGACTAAATGACGTGCTTCAGCTTCAGCATGATCGAAACCAA